CAGACTCCTGAAAAGATATGGCAACATTTGTCTACTGGATGCCACATACAAACTACCCGTTATGCTTTACCTCTGTTTTTCCTTGTGGTGGGCACAAATGGTGACTACCAGGTAGTTGGATCATTTGTGGTGCAATTCAAAAAGCATTCTGATAAAAATCAAACTGGGCTTAGTTGACAAAGGGCCAATGCTTGAAATGTCAACTTTGAAACCCTTTAAGGTGGCCAATTTCCATCATCAACTCATGTGATAAAACCAAATTACCTTGTTACCCTCAACATCACGGCACCACAGTTTCTTTAGAAACTGACCTCCCTTAATGGTTGTACCTATCTGGCTCACTGATAAACTGTTGATTATTCTTGACAGCATTGCCTTCATTGGACCAAGTGTTACAACTTACAAAGGCCTTAACCCTGGATACAGGATTTATGAAGTGGATGGTGATTATGCAAACAGTTCCAGGGTAAAATGAACTCTTTGTTTTTTTTTTTTTTTTTTTGTCAAGTCATGATCAAAATTTTTTATTACAGAGATAATCATTGACATACAGGAAAATATGACATGGTTTGAAGGGAAGTATCGACCAGAAAAAGCCGTTAATGGTTTTGGAGTTGAGTGAGGATGGATCAGGTTTCCCCAACCGTACAATAAAAAAAGCTACAAGTATGTTTTAAGTAATCATGTTGGCGTCAATCCGTATCAACGTAAGATTCTTTAAGAAAAGTAAAGAATTATTTCATGCTTTGCGTGCGTTTATCGGGTTAAGGTGGGAAGTTTGGAGAGCACGAGAGAAGCATAAGAGTCGCTCGGGGCGCAGCCGAGAGCAACTGGAACTTCTTTGTACTCTTCAAACTTCCCAAGGGGCATATCAACACGCAAAATAATATTTACCGTTCTAATGAACGACTGAAGCCTCAATTGAAGTTAGAAAACTCAGTTTTTTTTCACCCATAATTCACAGCGCATTCGGGAATTATCGTCAACTCCAAAACTAGTTTCGTTGCTTCTGAAGAGCTACATGCTCATCGTGTCTTTCCAAACGATCATTTCCCCCTTCTTTTACATTTTTGAGCTCCAAAAGGTCTTTCAAAGGGAAAAAAATCTTGAAAGTTTTGAAACCTCGCGGCCCATCTCTGCGAACCGTCCATTTATTTTGCATGAAAAACCTAGGCAATCAGAGCGCCTGTTATCGTTTAGCTCGCTATAATGTTAATTGAGGGTTGTTTATTTTTTCATACCGTCATTTTCATGCGATATCAAGTGAGAACTTATATGACAACGGAAACTTGAAGTTTCGTAATTTTCAGTCAGACGACTTCGCCAGTGACTCGAGTCTGCTGACTAAAATAGACAGCGAAACTGAATCAGCTTTGAGACGGAATCATGATCTATTCGTTGTTGTTTTTTTGATGGATACAATGTATTTTAAAAAGAGCCTTGTAGCAATGTGCTCCCTTAGGTAGAAAACTTAAAATTGCCATTTCCACAGCCTTGATGATTAGTCTACATAACGAATGGATTACTAGCTAACGGCCAAATTTCACTGACTGAAACTGAACGGTACCTGTGCGAGATATTTGAATTATTGAAACTTACCTTGTGATCTCACAGTCCTTGTTATCATGGAGAATTGAACTATCAAAAGAATCCAGGTATAAACAGAATACATTGCACAGAACGCAGACAAAGAAGATCTGTGAGGTGGCCTAAGTTGACAGCGATTTTAACTCACTTAACGCATGTCGAACTCACGAAGACTGTGTTGAGAACTTTTGCACCGGAAGCTTTTTTCTTTTTCATTGCCAATAGAAATTCAGCTTTCACAAGCTCTTTAGGAAGCTGTTACTTCGTTTACTTAAGAAACAATCGCTGTCCAATTTGCACTTTTGACACAGCCCTTCGTTCTTTCCTGCCATTGGTCGGTTACATTTCATTGCCTCTCAATATTTAACTAACATATTTAATTACGGGTGGGTGAGAAATTTTTTTTAATAAAAATATGTTTTACTTTTGCGTCAAAATCAAAGTGTCTTTGATTCAAATATGAAGTTAACAGAACATTCTTTTGTTCACCTATTTTGTCCAGTCCCCATGGTTGATAGGTAATCTAGATTGCTTCAGCTTCCTCAGGAGAAAGAACAGCGACTTCATCACGATTATTTTCCACAATTTTTGTTCTTGGATATCCTTTATAAGCTTAAAGAAAGATGAATATAACGCAATCTTCTGGTGATTTACACGACAGGAAGTCAAAGGTCTCTTTAATTTCCCCCTGAGGTGGCCGGCTCACCAGGAAGAAGAAGGAGATCTTTCAGTCCAATAACGTTAGTCTATGGAGATCATCAAGCTAATAACTGAGAAGATTGTGCCTGTTGGTTCATCAGTGATAAATCTGTGCTCCTCGGTCCGTGCGACACCGAAAAAAAGAACCTTTGTAGTTTTGTAGGCACTTATTGTAGCATTTTATTACTGAAGAAAAGAGTTCTCAAGGCTCAAAGCCAAAATAATGTTCAAGCATGTAAAAGATTCCCTGAAAAAAAGCTAAATTTGTGGGAAATGATTGTGATAAAATCTCTGTTCCATTTGCTGTAATGAGTTGTTCAAAATCTCCACTTTGCCAGTTTTCGCGCGAGTGGTGGGTTTTACATGTGGTACTACCGCTGGCAAGTTGGGATTTATACTCTCACTCTCAGTATTTGCGAACTGTTCAATCAAGGTTTTCCTCTCTCTTTTTGGTTGTTTTTACCTCAGAATGCGCGGAAATCTGCTGAATATCGAGAAATGTCAATTTCTCGTCTTCTTTGGAGCGACCTGATAGAATCTTCATGGAGAAATCCAGCGTTACGCCATCGTGATAACGTAAATATTTATGACAAATGACCTTTGCGGTTACGATAGTTTCGAGTAGATCAGCCAACTTTAACATGTTTCAAGTGACAGACAAGTATAACGGTGTATCGACAGAGGATTTCGGATTGCTCAAATTAGCATTAAAGAGAATACAGAACTCAGAATCTGGATAGTATGCACACGATTTAAGGTACATGTTTGTAACTACGTCGAGTGGTCCTTCATGATAGTTGATCAATTTTTTTTCAAAATATTAATGCTAGAGGCGAGATTTCTCTTCGCGATATTGCTTAGAAGATAACATTCTTTCAAAGTCTTGCACTTTTCATTTTTCTGAAACGTTTGTTGTTGAGAACATTCGATGTAAACATTGCCAATTTATGCAATATCTGATTTTTGAGCTTCGTTCGCGAATTACCACTATGAAAAGTAGAGGCCGGCCCGCAGAGATTTTTACATATTTAAAAACTAGAATATTATAATCAACTAAGTGCGTAGTTTCAGTTCCAGAATCGGTGTACTTTTGGAGAAATTTAGACAAACGTTTTCCCTGTTTTACCCTACAGCAAAAATGACCGAAACTGTACCACTGAAGATAAATAATCTAGTGGTGTGTTCACATTCACTCCCAGGGAAAATTGAATGCCTCAAAGTAAAGACGAATGGTGTTACTATGTATGCTAGAAGTACCAATTTGTAATGTTATAATTATCTTGAGATAGAGAAATAAACATTTTACACTTTTTTGCGATGTTTTTGTATGAAAATGAGGCCCCAGGCCTCGGACAAGCAGCCGTTGTTACCATGGCAACAAAAGTGCTGCAACCTTTAAAAAGGGCATTTTCGTGCATCCCCCCTGAGTGCCTAACTGCATGCAAAATTTGAAGGGGGGTTGAAGACGTTTGATTCTTACAGACTCCCTCTGAACAGTTCAGTTCGTTACGGTTATAACAAGGATTTTATTACTATCGTGATTATACTTGTAAATACTGTTACTTAACGCCTCCTGGCAATGACTAACAGTATAATAATTCAAACTTCGCGTTGTGCAATTAATAGCTTGACTGAAACAATCGATGGTCTACATTGTGAGATAAGCAATTAAACACGAACTGAAAACCTTAAAAACTAAATATGTTTTCGTAAGTTCCGGACTTGTTTTCTACTTTTTCGTTTGAGTGTCTCATTGTTTCCCTTTTTTTGCATACTATAATAAATTTCGTGTAACGCGAGCTTGAAGAGGGATTGTGGATAACATTTTTGAGAAAAGCTGTTGTAGAACATTAATAGTGAGTCAAAAGAAAATTATGTAAGCATGCTAACTTCAAGACAAAGGAGTCAAGTATGATAGTTGTCTTGGCATCTCTTTGAGCTGCAAGTATTAGTATTTTTCGCTGAGAGTTTTGACATCTGAAAATTGAGATGAGAAAATAAAAAACACACGTGTTAGTATGGCGCATAGACATCTAGCCGACCTAAGTTCTTGTTTGGAAAAAAATTAGCATACCAAAAATTTGCCAGCAATCTCAACCCAATCAGCGAATGAGTCTATAAAATATTTGTATTCACTTTGTCATTTTCTTTTATGTGTGCAAGTCACTCTCTGGCACAAAATTAGGAAATGATGACTGATCGCTTGGAATTGTTTCTTTTTTTAACCCAAAGAAGAAAAATATAACTAATCAACTAGTTAGATGACTTTCCAGCTAACTTAACGAAAAAGATATAAATACATAAATAACGAAATAAGGAAAAGTAGCAACATTTTTCTTTCTTTTGTCTCACATCCCTGGATACCACAAAAATGAAAAAGTTTGAGTTTGGTTTTATATCTCAATTGACTTTTTTCAAATATTTAACTTGATTAGGTAATATCGTCGTGGGAAAAATTCATGATGTCTTCTCATGTTAGACCATATCCTTTTAACTTCGCTGCTTGTATTGTACTTTGTGTTTGTGTCATTAAATACAGCAACTTCTTTAAGCAATTCTTTTCCACTTACCAAGATGTCTGCTACATAGACGTGTCTTCAAATGAATGGTGTACAGCGACAGCATCCGCCGATAGCGTACATAACTCCGTTTGTGTCCCACGATTAGATTTTACCGGAGTACGTTTGCCCGCACCGACACGAATTTTCTCCTTCGATTCGAAATGAACGCCATCATCGCCTTCTGCAGGAGCTAAAGCGAAACTTAGAGCTCCGCTATCTTGAACGCAACCAGCAATGGACGGTTTGTCCATCATCCCTGTTTCTAACTGAGTGTCAAGGATGTTCGTACCAGCCACACTTTGAATGTCCCCCTGCATGTCATTGAGAGGAAGAAGCAGAGCCAGGCAGCACGAAAAAGACCATTGGGGGTTTTTTCGCCATTCGCTGAAATACTGACGCAAATATACCAAATACTGAATTAAAAAGAAAAAAATGTATAAACTAAATCATAAATAATCTATTCTCGTACCTTTTCAGATACAGTTTTGAAATGTTTAATATTGTCATTATTACCATCTTTTATTAATTGCAATCTCGTAAGGGGAAAATGGATCTTTTGGTCCACCTCTTTGAAGTTTATCAATTAAAGTACCTTGACATTGGAAGTACCTCACTCGCTGTTCGTTGTTACTTTTTGAACTTTTCGGCATATCTTGTTTTATTTGTTTATTTAGTAGTAGCCGTCCATATTTTGGTTTCCCAGGAAGCTGCATAGTTAGCACTTTACTATGCACTTTTCAACGACTTGCCAGAAAATAGAAATAATAAAAAAAATAATAATAATGGTGAGACCTTACCATTGTTAGTATTGTCTCAACTAAGCAATCTAATAAAGCAGAAAGTGGAACTTCTTACCAAAAAGAAGACCAATGACCAGAGTATTTGTTCCAAGTATTAAGATCTTCATTGCCAGTGCGTCAGTGTTTATGTCGAAATCCTTTAAAACATTCTCCGCTGGAATCCTGCTCACTGCTCCCACACCCAAATTCACAACAGTTACGGCGAGGGACGTGGTCATCAACCTGTTCTCGACCGAGTCCTGTATGGGTTTAATCCAAGAAAAAAGGACTCCATACATTCCAGCAACAACCCATGCCAAGCCAATGTACGATCTGCTCTCTTGTCCCACCAGGATGAGGACTGATGTGAGGATTAGCTTGCGAGACGTTTCAATCAGTTCCCAATACCACGAACGAGATTTGTAGTTTTCGAAAAGGAAGCGTAAACCTGCCACTACTTTTGAATCATGGGACGGTTCACCAGCTTTTGATGTCAGTAGTACTTTTCGATGTCTCCAGAGAGCGATGAATGAAGCAGTTGGTAATGCAAAGGTGTAAGCAGCTGAAATGTAGCCAACAATCACCAATTGGTTATACATTGATCCATGGCACTTGACGCTGTAATCTGATTTGAGGTATTCGTTGCACGAGTCTTCATTTTCATCTCTGCAGATTTTCCTGCACGCGAATGGTAGAACATTAGCTGTCTTGGTACAAGTACCGAGGTACGTAACATACAAAAAGAAAAACAAATTTCTGCACACGAGTTCTTTGGTCTGTGAGGTCTCATTCAGCTTTTCTTCATTTTCCAGACTTCTATTTCTGGTAATATATACCTTACGAAGAATATACACCAGAAAAGATAGGACGATGGCTGTGGCATTTATTGAAAGAGTTAATGACAGATCTTCAAAGGCGTCCATCGACAATCCTGAGGAAAGACAGTGAATGGGAGATACCTGAAGAAAATTCATTTGAAGTATCCCCGAATACTTTGCTACATCCTGGAGCGAATCTGGCCACTTAATATAAGAAAATGCTTCGAGCAGGCCGTACGTAACCTGATAGAATCCGATGACGATCTTGA